CGAGAAAGAAAAAGCTGGAAGCATCACGCTTCCTGATTTCAAACCACACTGCAAAGTTATAGGAATCAAAATATATAATCAAAAAATATAATGCGGGCAAAAAAGAGACACATAGATCAATCCAACACACTGGGGAGCCCAGAAATAAACCCTCCCATACACAATCAATGAATACTGGACAAGAATACTCAACGGGAAAAGGATAGTCTCTTCCATAAATGGTGTTGAGAAAACCGGACATCCACACGCAAGAGAATAAAACTGGAGCCTTATGTCACACCACTCATAAAATGAACTCAAAACAGATTAAAGGCTTAAACATAAGAACAGAAACCATAAAACTCCTAGAAGGAAACACAGGGAAAACACTCCTTGACAGTAGTCTTGGCAATGATTTCTGAGATACAACACCAAAGGCACAAGCAAGAAAAGCAAAAATTACTGAGCGGGACTACATCAGACTAAACACCTGCACAGCAAAAGAAACAATAAACAAAATGAAAAGGCAACCTATATGGAAGGGGGTGGGAGGGATGGGGTGGCTGGGTGATGGACATTGGGGAGGGTATGTGCTAGGGTGAGCGCTGTGAATTGTGCAAGACTGATGAGCCACAGACCTATACCCCTGAAACAAATAATACATTATATGTTTAAAAAAAATTTTTAAAAAAAAGAAGAGAAAAGGCAACCTATAGATGGGGGAGGATATTTGCAAATGATACATCTGATGAGGGGTTAATATCCAAAATATATAAAGAGCTCATACGACTCACTAAAAAACAATCTGAGTTTAAAAATGGGCAGAGCGGCACCTGGGTGGCTCAGTCGGTTCAGTGTCTGCCTTTGGCTCAGGTCATGATCCCAGGGTCCTGGGATAGAGCCCCGAGTCGAGCTCTCTGCTCAGCGGGGAGTCTGCTTCTCCCTCTCCCTCTGTTCCTCCCCCTGCTCGTGCTCTCTCGCTCTCTCTCAAATAAATATTAAAAGATAAAAATGGGCAGAGGAACTGAATAGACGTTTTTCCACAGAAGACATACAAATAGCCAACAGGTACATGAAAAGATGCTCAACATCACTGATCGTCAGGGAAATGTAGATCAAAACCACAATGAGCTATCACCTCACACCTGTCAGAATGGCTGTCATCACAGAAGACAAGAGATAATAAGCGTTGGCAAGGATCTAGAGAAAAGGAACCTCCTGCACACTGTTGGTGGGAATGTACATCGGGGCAGCCAGCATGGAAAATGGTATGCGGGTTCCTCAAAAATTTCACAATAAAACTACCATAGGATCCAGCAATTTCATCTCTGGATATATACTCATGGGAAATGAAACAGGTTATTGGAGAGATGTTTGCCCTCACGTGTTCGCTGCAGTGCTATTCACAAGAGCCAAGATAGGGACACAACCGACGTGTCCATCAACAGATGAACAGCTAAAGAAGACTTGGGCTATATCCACACAATGGAATATATTCAGCCATGAGAAAAGGAAATCCTGCTATTTGCAACAACATGGATGAACCTTGAGGGCATGATGCTAACTTAAGTCAGACAGGGAAAGACAAATACTTCATGATATCACTTAGAGGTAGAATCTAAAGACAAGGAACTCATAGAAACAGAGTAGAGGGCGCCTGGGTGGCTCAGATGGTTAAGCGTCTGCCTTCAAGCTCAGGTCATGATCCCAGGGTCCTGGGATCGAGCCCCGCATCGGGCTCCCTGCTCCTTGGGAGCCTGCTTCTCCCTCTGCTTCTCTCTCTCTCTCTCTCTCTCCTCCTCTGTCTCTCATGAATAAATAAATAAATAAATCTTTAAAAAAAAAAAAAAAGAAACAGAGTAGAATGGTGGAGCCTAGGGGCTGTGGGTGGGGGGACTGGGGAGATGTCAAAGGTTATGCTTCTAATTATAAGACGAACAGGTTCTAAGGATGTAATGTACAGCATGGTGATTATAATTAATAACACTGTATTACATACTTAAAAGTAGCAAAGAGAGTAGGTCTTTAGTGCTCTTGACACAAAAAGCAAAAGGTGACATGTGATGCAATGGGGCGCTCAACACAAAAAGCAAAAGGTGACGTGATGCAATGGGGCGCCATGCAGGTGTTAGCGAAAATATGGGGGTAATCATTTTGCAACCTCTAAGTGTATCAAGTCAACACATTGTATACCTCAAGCTTCCACTGCATTCTATGTCAATTCTCTTTCAATAAAGTTGGAACATTTCTGAAATAAAAAAAAGTTTTTTAAAAAGGATGTGACACAAAAAAAACGCACGTTGGTGGAGTGAAATACATTCATCTCACTAATGCTGGAGGATCCCAGCAAGGAGGCTGCTGGCTACTCCCTGCCCTGCCTCTGGACCCTTCCATTTGCCTGTTCTGAGGCAGGAGTCAGCCATTAAACACACACCAAGCACTTAGAACAATCCCTGGCTCACAGCACAGCCACATAAATGCCTGTCTTTATTATTACTGCTATGATTCTGTCTAGCACTCTACAAGCCTCAGGTGAGAAGTCCGAGTTTTGGTAAAACACCAGCACATCCTCCTGGGACAAACATCTTTTAGAGTGCTGAACATTAGCCAGAAAAAACAATAACCTCCTTGGGCCACTGACTGGATGGACACACAGCCTCCCTTTACCATCACTCCCTTGCTGGGTGCCACTGCTTTTAGAAACCACATCTGGTGGCTACCCACTTCCTCCTGGAGTCCCCAAGATGGTGCTTCCCTTAGAAACCTGCTTCGGGCCCTCCAGCTTCATGCGGCAAATGCTGTGACCCACCCCACGAACAAGATGAGTCCACCATGTTGTCTTCTCACCAGATTCCCCATCCAGCCCCAAGACAGCCATCCACCCAGATCCCTGCTACCTTCCAGTTGAGGTGGAATCCCGTGACAAAACGTAAGAAAGAAGAATATTCATGCCTCACGGCAAACACGTGGTCACCCATGATATTGAGAGATGGGCAGGTGCAGAGCGTGGGGTGAGGGAAACCAGGCTGAGAGAGGGAGAACATCCCCAATGAATCCTGGTATGCGTGGGGTCCCCCCACAAGGGACACACTTTGACCAATGACTTTTGTACGTGCAGCTTTAGCTCTGGGGGTTCAAGGCCACCCTATGAGGTCAGGAAAGGGGAGGGCTAGGAAGTTGCCACCAGCTAAGTGCGGATGCCAGGGTCATAGGAACGCAAGGTAATGTTGCCTACGCATGACACAAGAGGCCCATTGTTAGCCAACAGCCAACTCACTATGTCTTTTGATCACATCCAATTCCTAATAGAGAATATAATGGCAGAGTGCAGTGGAAAGAAAAACAATCACCCAAGTACCAGTTTGTAACTCTGTCGCTAAGCCAAAGAGCAATTAATTACTCATCGGGAAGACTCAAGCGAGACACATATCCAGCTCCCGACTGCTTAATAAATGCTCCTGCTCTTTATCAGAGCAAAAGCATTAATATCCTCTTGAACACTCCCCTCCCACCCAAAGCCCCCCATGCACCTGAGTGCGTGTGTGCGCATGCACACACACACACACACCCACTTATTCACCCACAGTGCTTTCTGCCCAGTCTGCTCTGCCTTCCAAGAAAAGAGGGTGTTAAAACACTCCATGCATCATTTTGTTGTGACAACTTTCTAAACTCAGAGTGCGTGGCCTCTGCATGCTTAATCTCCCCGGTACACGCTGGACTTCTCAAATTAGGTGCACACAGAGACATTAGTGACAAGTCTTTGCTCATACAGTGCTCATGTTGGTAGAGTTCCTCTGCATCTGACAGGCAAGAACCTGGTAAGCTTTTGCAACATCATGCTCAAAATGTATTTAAGTCAATTTTTTTAAATTTAAGAAAGCGTGTGAACACGGTATTAAATACGAATGGTACTCCACATAGGCACCCATCTCTCTCCTCCTAGTGATTTTAAAGAGATCACTGCTTTTATAAATTAAAAGGACTGGAAAAGAAGATTTTTAATAATACAGCTGAGCTTTCCATGAATGTTTTACTAAGTTCTCGTATATCCTGGTTCACTAATAAAAATAAAGAGCAAGAATATTGGCATATTTTATCTTCCATTATTATTGAAGGAGATTAAGAAAAAAAGTCTTGGGATTTGTCTCTTTTTTCTCTCTCTCTCTCCCTATAATATTTGTTTTCACTGAAAGGCCTTGGTCATTGTCAACCCATTCTGAAAAACTGAGATTTCATTTTATGTGAAATAACTTGGGAGTCCACCTTCTTCCACAGTGAAAAAAAAATCCCTACATCCTGGGGCTTATAATGCAAGGCGGGGACTCAATTCTTGCCCTAGTGAGGTGCACATATTACCGTGGGACCCAGAGGAGCACTCTCTAGATTTTTCTCTCAGTTACACCCATGGGGGTTAAGCTCCTGGGGGCACTGTAAGGACTTTAGGTCTCTCTAGACAGACAAGGGGAAAGGTCCCCAAAAGCCCAAAGGAAAGCCAGGAAGAAATATGAAGCTCATTCACTCAAAAACCACCTCATGTCCCATAAACCTGACCTCCACTCCTCTTGAGGAGAGAAAATTGGGTTGAACAAGTACAATTTTTTTTCTTTTTAATTGGGAACTCTATAAATGCTCCAAATCCTGGGCTCTGCCTCAGCAACAGCAGTGCAGAAAGATGGTAGAGCAGAAAGCTAGGATATCACTCTAGAGGGGTTCACACTGTAAACAGAGGAACTGGATTACGCCCCTTTCCCTCTGAAATCTTAGTGTTTTGTGAGCCCACCGGCTGGCTTGGGCACCTTTGGTTTTGTGGAAGTACTCATACTACTGGCTGGATTTGATGGAATTGGTGGGGGTCTGAACTGTGAGAGGGAGAGGGAGCCTGGGAAAATCACATAATAGACACACCACCACTGCATCTCCTGGAAGATTTTGGTGAGAAGCCTGGGACTTAGACTCTGGATGGTGGCCCCTCACTAATCACATCTGGCCGACTATAGGTGGGCACTTTATACACTTACCTCGTTTCATCCTCACTGCAGTCCTGTGAGGCAGGCACATGTGGCAGTGACTACTGATTCTTCCAATTCCATCTTCCCTTCCTTCTTCCTCCTAGAACCCCAGGAATGCGACCACTTGGGGAACTGTATGAGTTGGCTGTTGCCACGTAACAAATAAGCCCAAAACGTAGCAGCTGAAAACAACATTTTGTTTCTTTGAGTCAGTTTTGGGGACTTTCTAGATCAGGTATCTCAAGAAATGGCAGTCAAGATGTCCACCAGGGCTGGAGTCATCTGAAGGCCCGACCGGGAGTATGTTCTTCCAAGCTCACTTGTGAGACTGCTGGATTGAAGACCTCCGGTCCTCACTAGCTGTTGGCCAGAGACGTCAGTTCCTTGCCACGTGGGCTTCTCCATAGGACAGCTCACGTGTCAGCTGGATTTCCTCAGAGCAAGAGAGGGTACCCAAGATAGAGGCCATCATCTTTTCGTAACCTAATCTCAGAAGTGACCTCCCATCACTTTGGCCAGATTCTATTGATTAGGAGGAAGTTACAAGGTCTAGCCCATACTCAAGGGGAGAGAATTATATAAGGGGGTGAATACCAGGAGGCAGGGATGATTGTGGCCATTTTTATTTTTATTTACTTATTTAGCTAGTTAGTAGGCTCCACACTCACTGTGGAGCCCAGTGTGAGGCTTGAACCCACGACTCTGAGATCAAGACCTGAGCTGAGATCAAGAGTCGGAGGCTGAACTGACTGAGCCACCCAGGCACCCCTGAGGCCATTTTAGAGGCCACCTCCCACAACTACCTTTCCCAGACTCCCTTGCAGCCAGACATGACCACATGACTACATATCAGCCAATGAAATGTAAGTGGAAGTTTGATGGTGGACATCTGGGATGACTTCTAAAAAGGTGAGTCAGGATGCACTTCCTCTTTCTTGCAGACTGGAATGTAACGGCTGGAGCTCTGGCAGCCACCTTGGACCGTGGAATGGAAGCTAGCACAGGGAGGCTGAAGGAGCCCAGGTCCATGATTTCACAGACCCATCCTGCAAGCCTTCACTGCCTGCCTTGGAAGTCTTTTTTTGGTTTTTGTATATGTTCTTTTCTTCTTTTTTAAAGTAGGCTCCATGCCCAATGTGGGGCTTGAACCCACAACCCAACGATCAAGAGTCACGCGCTCTACCAACTAAGCAAGCCAGGTGCCCCTATATCCTTTTTCTTGACTAAAATTTTTAAAACTCGATTTGAGTTAAAATACACATAACATAAAATTTCCCATCTTAGCTATTTTTAAGTGTACAGTGCAGTGGTATTAAATACATTCACACTGTCGTGCAGCCATCACCACCAGCCATCCCCAGGACTCTTCTCATCTTATAAATCAAACCTCTGTACCCACTGCACACTAACTCCCCATTTACCCTCTCCCCAGCCCCTGGCAACCAGCATCCTCAGATGTCTTTTACATGAGTGTTTTAAGCCACCGTATTCAGACCTCTATCGCTCACAGCTGAGCCAGTCTTCAACACAGCAGTATTATTATCCCCATCGTACAGAGCAGAAAACTGAGGTTCAGAAGCACACAAAACTTATCCAAGGTCCAAAGCAAGTTAAGTAGTGGAGCCTGGGCTTGACTTCTAATATGTTTCATGACAAAACATGTCCTTTTTCCAATGCTTCTAGCGAGGGATCGGTGGGGGGGAAATCATTTGAAGTTCCTGCCCCACTTTCTTGACAGTTTTCACCATGTGAAGTCATATGGAAGTTAGGAGTGGTATGTGATTGCAACCCAGCCAAACGGTCCCTTTGCTAGGCAGGGAGCAAAGATGGCTGGTTTTATTCATTGTGTTCCCTGTCTCTCCTGTAGGGACACTCAGCAAGGAACACCATGGACCGGGTTTGATTGATATTTTGGAAGATGTTCCCAATTTCAGAAAAAGCAATAGAGAAGGTTGGAAAGAGCAAGTCTGACCAACAGAGGGTCTGTGTTTGAAGCCAGTGCCCCAGGCTGTGGGCCCCGTGCAATAACCCCCTCTCAGCGCAGGGACAGACAGACTCAAACACTCCAAGGCACAAGGCCATGTCTTCTGGAGAAGATCCTAATCAGACTCCCTTCCCTCAGAGTCTAAGGGAAGGCTCTGGCTGATAGGAGGCATGCCCAAAGCAGGGAACTCCATTTCAAACCCCAGGACCTGCCAGAGAAAGCTGCCTTCCGTCAACTCAAAGTCTCCATGGACTTTTCTTGGGTAAGAACTTTCTCCTCCTTTCATTTGCTCCCCCAGGCAGGATACACACCGTTAATGAATCTTCCTGGACGAATGGAGGAGGATTTACCATCAGCCTATCAATGAGCCATAGGTCGATGAGAGCTGCTGAAGGGGCTGAAAAGTCTTGACTTTCTCAAGCTAAGCTGCACCAGTCTGTTTTACTCTTTGCATCAGGCTACGATGAGTCTACACACTGGCAGGCTATTTTCACAGACTGTGGGGTCCTTCTTGTACCAAATATTCCCTGTCCTGGTCAGGGCTTTTAAGGCGCAAGGGACAGACATGTAACTCAAACTGAGATAATGGAGAAGGAGGAGGGAGGTGGCTTAGTGATGGACTTCAATGGAAGGGATGGGGTGGATCTGACATCAGGAGCAAATGGATCCAAGACCCCTGTGCCGCCATCTATATTCACTCTCAAATAGGGTTAACCTTCTCCACTATTGCAGATGAGTTCTCCCTGGGCACAGGAAAACAGTGCAGCCAGGCCCAGGTCACGTTCTTCCAGCACAGTGCCCCAAAACAGGCAGGGGACTCTTCCCTGTGACACCACTGCCCGGGGAGTGATTGGCCCATCCCAGGGAGAGGGGGAGGGCACTCTGCCTGGCCAGGGTCATGTGCCCACCTCCTGTGCCCTGCTAGGAGGGAGGGGAGCTGTGAATGGAGGGTCCTACCAAAAGTACAGGACAGCTCAAAGAAATGGGGTGCTTCCAAAAAAAAAAAAAAGCAACCCATTTCCACATCAGTCCAACATTGCAAATCCGTGTAGGAAGGTTTGTGCACGCTTGCAAAACCAAATGCCCTTCTGACCCCGGCTGGCTGCAGATGGACCTCTCAACATGCCGCCACTCCTGAACCAGGTGGGGGGCTCACGCCTCCTCACCTTCCTCTACCCTGTCTTCCTGACAGTCTGTCTCCCCTCCTCCTCCTACCCGCCTTTGTTTGCATGGGGATCTTTTTTTTTTTTTTAAGATTATATTTATTTATTTGACAGAGAGAGAGAGAGAGAGAGAGAGAAAGATCACAAGCGGGGGGCGGGTGCAGAGAGAGAGGGAGAAGCAGGCTCCCGGCCGAGCAGGGAGCCAGATGTGGGGCTCGATCCCAGGACCCTGGGATCATGACCTGAGCCGAAGCCAGACCCTTAACTGACTGAGCCACCCAGGCGCCCCCGTTTGCATGGCTCCAACTATGTGGTTCCCGGGGCAGATCCTGCCATTCTCCCTGCAGGTTGCCCCAACTGAGGGTGGGCTTTGTCTGTTGGCAGAGAGGGAACCCTGCGTCTAGTCCCCACCTAAGCCTTCCAATAGCTGTTCCTTGTGCCCTCTGAAGACAGAAGAGCTGCCTGTAAGCTGGGCTGCTAACTCTAGATGACATTCCACCTTTCCACTCCTACCACTAACTCCTAACACAAAGCCACATAGGCACATCGACAGCTCAAGGCCATAAGGAGAAAAGGGAGGAAAGTGGAGACCCCATCCATCTCCTGTGGGTAGAAGGGGCAAGCGGGTCTGATTTGCTTGATGGAACCCAGTTCTAGCCCAGGAGACACAGGATCTACACTCCCGTGGTTTGTTTTGCCCCAAACTGCTCGGGCCATAAACTAAAGTGCCCCATTCCAAGGAGACCTACTCTACTGTGACCCTGCATGATCTGCTCACAGCAACCTTAGCGTGGCCGGGAGTCCAGGGCAGGAGAATGTCAAGGGCCACCCAGACAACACTCGGGCTTGGCTCCACCGTGGTGGCGGGTGGTCGATCGACCCTGACAGCAGTCACTGCCACTCCCTCGCTCTCCCAAGACAGTGTTCTCTGTGCCCAGGAGGGGAGCGTGGAACAGAGAGGTGGCAGTGGCAGGCTTCCAGAGTCAGGATGCACCTCAGGAGTCTATCCTGCCTCATTTCCCTCATCCATGGTCACATCCTAACCCTGCCAGGCTGTGAGGCTGGTGTTTTAAAGGAGGGTCTTCAGACCACCTCGCTGAGCAGTCCTGCCTTTTTAATACTGCCAAGGTCAGCGTTTGCCATCTAGCCATGCTCCCTCCTGCTGCATGCTCTACCCTATTTTCTTAGCCCTGTCACCCACTGGGAGGCAAAGCCAAGAATGAACAGAGCGAAGGGGAGCTGGTCCTGCAGACCCAGGGACGGACGGCAGCCCCTTTCAGTTTCCAGGTACTGACTTGAAACCTTCCACTGTCCCTGTGTTTCCACTGGTCCCATACGCAAGACTTGACTTTTGCAAACGTTGAGCTTTTCTTGCTCTCTCTCCTTGGTGCTGGGGGCTGGAGGGAAGTGGGGGGAGAGGAGGGAGAGGGGCAGAGCCTTCTGAAGTCTCCGCTCCAGCTCCCTTCCTCTGCGGAGCGACATTTGCTTCCAAAACTGAGCCATTCCTCGGCACGTCGGTCTATTTTTTGCAGTAGGGCTGGCTGCCCTGTGCCAAGGCTTCTTACTACAAATAGAACCTCGGGAAAGGGCTCATTGGTTTTCTCTCGGCTTTCTGACACTTCTTCACATTTCAGTTGGCTTCCCTTCCGTGGCCTCAAAAGGGAATATTTGGAGTCCCCTCTGTTTTGCTGTGATTACAGGCACCTCTCGAAGCTCTCCACGGGGATGCCTCCGGGCCAGTGGCGAGCCCGGCCTGGCTCCTCGGGAGTCGCCAGAGCACCGGTGTAGGTCCCAAGCTGTAGGCTCACCCCTCAGTCTGATGGTAAAAGACAAAGCACAGGTGCCTCCACTCAGTGTCCCTGCCCCCTTGGACCCCTGACCTCCCAAGTGCCTCTAGCTCCCACCTGTCATTTGAGATAGGATTTGAGAGCTCATTGCACCAAGTGTCAGAGAACTCAAGTGATCTACCACCGAGACACTTACCAACCAGGGGATGTCTGCAGTCTAGACACTCGAGAAGCCGTCCCTCAGG